ACTACTGGAGTTTAGTTTGGCTTTCATTAAGTGATAATGCCAATGGAATGAAATGTTGTCACAGGATAATGATCTCAAGCACTTACATCCTTCATAGAATCACAGAATATCAGGGTTGGAAGGGACCTCAGGAGGTCATCTAGTCAAACCCCCTGCTCAAAAGCAGGACCCATACCCAATTAAATCATCCCAGCCAGGGCTTTGTCAAGCCTGACCTTAAAAACATTCCAGTGTTTCACCACCCTCCTAGTGGAAAAGTTTTTCCTAATATCCAACCTAAATCTCCCCCACTGCAACTTGAGACCATTACTCCTTGTCCTGTCCTCTTCCACCACTAAGAATAGTCTAGAACCATCCTCTCTGGAACTACCTCTCAGGTAGTTGAAAGCAGCTATCAAATCCCCCCTCATTCTTCTCTTCTGCAGACTAAACAATCCCAGTTCCCTCAGCCTCTCCTCATAACTCATGTGTTCCAGACCCCTAATCATTCTTGTTGCCCTTCGCTGGACTCTCTCCAATTTATCCACATCCTTCTTGTAGTGTGGGGCCCAAAACTGGACACAGTACTCCAGATGAGGCCTCACCAATGTCGAATAGAGGGGGATGATCACGTCCCTCGATCTGCTCGCTATGCCCCTACTTATACATTCCAAAATGCCACTGGCCTTCTTGGCAACAAGGGCACACTGCTGGCTCATATCCAGCTTCTCGTCCACTGTCACCCCTAGGTCCTTTTCCACAGAACTGCTGCCTAGGCATTCGGTCCCTAGTCTGTAGCTGTGCATTGGGTTCTTCCATCCTAAGTGCAGGACCCTGCACTTATCCTTATTGAACCTCATCAGATTTCTTTTGGCCCAATCCTCCAATTTGTCTAGGTCCCTCTGTATCCTATCCCTCCCCTCCAGCGTATCTACCACTCCTCCCAGTTTAGTATCATCCGCAAATTTGCTGAGAGTGCAATCCACACCATCCTCCAGATCATTTATGAAGATATTGAACAAAACCGGCCCCAGGACCGACCCTTGGGGCACTCCACTTGACACCGGCTGCCAACTAGACATGGAGCCATTGATCACTACCCGTTGAGCCCAACAATCTAGCCAACTTTCTACCCACCTTATAGTGCATTCATCCAGCCCATACTTCCTTAACTTGCTGACAAGGCAAGCCATGACAAAACACTGAAAGAGTTATGTGGTAAAGAGGGTTTGTGTACCAACCTACTAGCCTTTCACGTATGAAGACACTTTCAAATCTAATTGCAGGACACGTATAAACGAATCTAACAGTCTAATCCTAGTTCCCATTTGTGCACACCATAAAAGCCACATAATTGCACAAGTAAATCCATATCACTGACAAGATTAGCAGATCCGTATTACAGTGTATTGGCAGACAACTGTGTGGAAATTTATACAGCACTTGCTTGCACTATGCCTTGTTGAAATCCATGCCATCAGTCACTTCAGTTCCATGACTACTGAAAATTCACTCACCATTTTCATTCAAAACATGCTCGCTCTGGTTTGATGCTGGTGTGATATAACAAAATCTGCTTGGAGCCCAATCAGTTTATAACCAATATTACAAAGTACCTATTCCAGGCTCTAAGTGCCTTTGCAAATGTACAACCACATAAGACAGAAACTTTCCTTCATACTAAAACCAGAAAACAGCCACCTACACACAAAATCAAACCCAAACACTATCTGCTTCAGCCATAAACACCAGCCCATAGCATGCCTCATCCTTTTGAAAAAACTAAGGCTTGGTCTACACGTGGTATAACTATGTTGCTCAGGGGTGTGGATTTTATGTCAGTATAACTTCGTCACTCAGGAGTGTAGAAAATCCATATCCTTGAGCGACGGAGTTCTAAATCCTTGGCCCCTGGAGTAGAGAGCGCTATGTTGATGAGAGGACTTCTCCTGTCGACACAGCTACTGCCTCTCAGGGAGGTGGAGTACCTTCCCTGTTGGCATAGGTAGCATCTTCAGTAAGCACTACAGTGGCTCTGCTGCAGCACTGTAAATGTAGAAAAGCCTTAAGTAAAGAAAACAGTTTGCAGAGTGCCCTGAAAGTAAACAGATTTGGGCCTCTTGCTAAATTGAGGGCCCTCCATGGAAAACAGCTTGCCAGAAGCCCCCTCTCTTTTACACCAACTGGGTTTCAGCTTGAGGGACCCTTCATTAACTGCAGCTGTGCCAGTAAAGCATGGGGAGAGAGGTATCAAATAGGCAAGTACCAAAACATTTAGGGTTTATAGACACCTACAGTAACTCCTCACAATGTAGTTATGTTCCTGAAAAATGCTACATTAAGCAAAACAATGTTAAGCAAATCCAATTTCCCCATAAGAATTAATGTAAATAGGAGGGGTTAGGTTCCAGGGAATTTTTTTTTGCCAGACAAAAGACTATACACACACACAGAGAGTGTAAGTTTTAAACAAACAATTTAATACTGTACACAGCAATGATGATTGTGAAGCTTGGTTGAGGTGGTGGAGTCAGAGGGTGGGATATTTCCCAGGGGATGCCTTACTGATAAATGATGAACTAGCACTCAGCTGAGCCCTCAAGGGTTAACACATTCTTATTGATGTAGCCTCACACTCTACAAGGAAGCATGAATGGAGGGAGGGGAGACCGCGTGGCAGAGAGAGACAGAGACATACACCATGTATGTGTGTGAGAAAGAGAGAGACAGACACAGACCGTGTGTGTGTGTGTGTGTGTGTGTGAGAGAGAGAGACACACACACACCATGTGTGTGAGAGATAGATGCACATTGCCCCTTTCAGTACGCTGACCCCATGCTAAGTAAACTGCCTTTTTAAGTATATCAGCAAGTTGAGACAGCAGCTGCTGCCAGCAAGTTCCCTCCATCCTGAGCTCTGGCGTGTTCCCGCCTGCTCTGTGGAGAAGGGGTACAGGAGCGTGGGACAGAAGCGGGGGGAGAGGGACACCCTGACATTAGCACTTCTCTTCCCCCCCTTCTGCACAGCAAGCAGGAGGCTCCCGGGAGCAGCTCCAAGGCAGAGGGCAGGAGCAGCAGAGGGCAGTGGGGGGAGGGACAGCCGAACTGCCTGGCAATTGATAGCCTGATGGGCAGCTGCCGCACAGGGAACTTAGGGGAGCTGATAGTGGGGCTACTGGTCCACCCTGGTTCAAGCTTGCACCAGCTCCAACGGGCTGCTCTTTCTGCAAGCAGCGGACAAAGCAGGCGGCTGCCAAACATTATAAGGGAGCACTGTGCAACTTTAAATGAGCATGTTCTCTAATAGATCAGCAACGTAACAATGAAACAATGTTAACCGCGACGACATTAAGTGAGGAGTTACTGTACTGAAATATAAGAACATGTCAAGTCAATGCATTTGTTATTAAAGCAGGTGACATTAATCCTAGGGCAGTGATTTATTTCTGTTATATTAAATGGCTGAGGTAGAATTCATTATTTCGCCTGATGGGCATTGGTGCCACAGTGGCAAATGTTGACTAGACCAGTGCAGTCTTTTTGAAACCGGTTTGGTTTACAGACCTTCAATACATCAAAGCAGCTAATCCAGAAAAGTAGTTTTTTTAAAAGAATAATATCTATATTTATGAATAAACTGATTTCAAATTGGCTGAATATTTGTGGTTGGCTTTTAAAATACCTATCAGTGAACAGTAGTCTGTTTGGAATGATTTATATTAAAAATAATATATTATAAGCTTTTTGCAGCAGGAACTGAATATTGGTCTGTGTTTGTGGTGCCTAACACAATGGGGGCCTGGCCCCTGCCTGGGGCTCCTCATTGCTACCACTATTACCACTACTAAATTACTACTACTATTAGTAATCATTAATTATATAGCACCTTCAATAATAATGCTATCACTTTACACTTCTATAACACCTTCCATCCAAGGATCTCAAAAGTGTCTAACGAACTCACCACGCACCCTCCTTACAGCTGGGGAAAACTCTAAAGGACTTGTCAGGTGAGTCAGAAGCACAGCAGGGAACTCATGAATAGTAAAATGGGACCCTAGTGTTTTCTTTCTGGTTTAGATTCCCTTCTTAGAATATCATTAAACTAATCCAAATCCCTCAGAAACATCCAGGAAACCAAAGAAGGCTAACTGCTCCTCTTTATGCTCATCTGGGTACATTTTTCTCTTCGTACACAAGTAGGCCTTATTTGTTTCTATATTTTTCAGTTTTCATCTGTACCATAAATATCTCTCTTGGTTCTATTTTGAGTAACTCTGAATTATCCCTCCATGTTGTTTTGTTTGAAATTTGCTATTTCTGAAATGACAGACAGAAAGCCAAAAGAAGCAAAGAAAGAACGTTGTCATGTGTTGAGAGCTTATTAACTCTGAGCTGCTTGACATCATTTTGAGAGTAGGAATTAGGTGGTGGGCTTCAGTGGTTTATGGGCATGGCATGTGTAAAAGTGAAATGACGAGAGTGGACATACAATGCCAATACAGATGTTGGTGCATTTTACAAGAGGATAACATTTGATTTTTCTAGGCTGAAATCCCTCTTATCCTATAATGAATAATATTATAGGATAGCAGGTTTGTTAAATACTGTTACCTTTAAAACCTACCCTAAAAATGCACAGTAAGAAACTACTCTTTACAGGCACAAATGTAAAATGTATGTTATGCGCTGAATGCTCCAAATGAACGGGGTAAGCAGGACTTACCTTGTCTCCCCCTTTCCACAGGTCTGCAAAGTGCACACCCCTCGCAGATCCCGCTCAGGCCAACGTCCCAGCATGCCCTCTACTGGTGATGTCCCACCCACCACTGAAGAGACTGCCTAGAGGGGTACAATGCAAGTCTTGTTTCGTTTTTTTTTGTTTTTTACAGTATTGCATCTTTTTGTAAAGTTTTCTGTTAATTTTATTCTCTGTAAACAATACAATTATGAAAAAGAAAACTTTACAGAAAGGTGCAAAAACTGGGGTGGGGATGGGGAGAAGGAGGGATTTGTCTTACCCCTATCGGCAGGTTCCTCAATGGTGGGTGAGATGAGACCAACAGAGGGCATGCTGGGGTGCCACACCGAGCCACAGAAGGCAATCCGGGGTTGTTCTGCACTTTGCAGGCCTGCTGAAAGAGAAAGAGCCATGTTTAAATTACTAAAATGCTGAGTGTCTACTTTACTGTTTGAGACATTCAGCACATAAGAAGGCCATTACTTACTGTAACTGGAGGTTCTTTGAGATGTGTGGTCCCTATCTGGATTCCACTGGGGATTATGCATGCACACAGTGCCTTTGGATTCAGAGAATTTGAAAGTAGCGTCTGTTGGCCTGCGCATGCACCTTGACTTGCCTTGTACTTCTGTCAGAGGCAATAAAGGGCGGGGTGGACCAACCACATCTCCAGTTCCTTCTCTACCACAAATCTGACAAATACGCAGCAGAAGGGAAGGAGGGTGGGACTAGAATACAGATAGGGACCATGCATCTCAAAAAACCTCCAGTTACAGGTAAGTAACCTCCTCTTCTTTGAGTGATGGTCCCTCTTGTATTGCCGAGGGTGATTAACAAGCAGTACCTAAGATGGAGGAGGGAGCGACGATGAGGATAGAATGGTCATGTGGAGAACTGCCATGCCAAAGGAGGCATCTGACGCTGAGTCCTGTACAGAATTCCACGTGGCTCTACGTATGTCTATGAGGGGCACATCCTGAAGGTTGTGCCCCTGTGGTTCACACCTGAGGCTGTGGTTCACACCTGAGCTATCGTGGCTCGCACCCCTGTGGTGGGGAGGCTGGCCTGTCAGCTGGTAGCGGAGTTTAATGCAACCCAAAATCCATTTGGAGATTCTTTGGGTGGAGATGACATGTCTGCTGAGTCTCGCTGGCACTGCAACAAACAGTCTAGGGGACTTCCTGATTGATTTAGTGCTTTGCAGGTAGAAGATCAGAGCTTGTTGGACGTTGAGGGAGTGGAGTCAACGTTCTTCTGCAGATGCGTGTGGTTCCGGGAAGAAAATAGGTAAGTGAATGGATTGATTAATGTGTAACCTGGAGACCACCTTTGGTAAAAATTTTGGGTGTAGACATAGAAAGACTTTATCATTGTGGAAAACTTTGAAAGGTGGGTCTGCCCTCATAGCTCCGAGTTCGCTGTCCTTTCTTGTGGAAGCGATAGCAACAAGGAAGGGGACTTTTATGGAAAGAAAAGACATGGAGCACGATGCTAATGGGGCTCAAAGGGAGGCTTTGTTAGCACGGAGAGAATTAGATTCAGGTCCCATTGTGTTGCGATCGCTTGAAAGGGTGGGAAGGTTCCGATGAGCCCTTTCCAAAATCTAGTGATTAGCGGATATGTAAAGACGGAGTACCCTTCCACTGGAGGTTGGAATGCACTAATTAGCGCCTGGTCGACTGTCAAAGAGCTGAAGATGAGACCTGATCACTTTAATGAATGTCTAGGATGAGGACAATCTCTGCCAATTCTGGTAAAACTCCTTTTTGTTAAACCAAGATGAGAAACATCTCCACTTGGCTTGGTAACATTACTGAATGGAGTCCTTCCCACTGCTGGAGAGAATGTTTTGCACAGTTGAAGAGCACATCCATTCTAAAGCAGATGCCCATCCAAATACCATGCTCTGTGGTGGAGCGCATGTGGACTGGGATGCCTGAACTCGCCATTGAACTGGGTCAGCAGATCAGGGAAGTTGGAGATGGGAATTGGTGGGCAGGAAGACACGTGGAGGAGATTGGGAAACTAGAATTGTCTGGGCCTGCAGGTGATGATCAGAATGATTGTCACTCTGTCTTGTCGGATTATGTGAAGCACTCAAGGCAGGAGCGGTAATGGAGGGAGGACATAGCTGAGTTGGTCTGAACAGGAAAGTAGGAGAGTGTTGCCCTAGAAGTGGTGGTTGAGGGTTCCCCTGGAGCGGTATGTGGTGCACTGGCTGTTCTCCCATAGGTCTCCGGTCGGGGACCACAACTGGCAAAAATATTGTGTACTACTAAGTCATGAAGCCCCACTCGTGGTCGATTGCAAAATGTCTGCTGAGCGAGTCTGCGAGTACATTCTGTGTCCCCAGAAGATAGGCTGTGGACAAGAGGATCTGGTGATTGATGCACCTGTTCCAGAGATTGACTGCCTCATTCCCCTGTTTCTTGATATAGAAAACAGTGGTGTTGTCTGACATGATGAGAACATGATGGGAGTGAATGAATGGAAGGAAAGATTTGCATGCCTTTCTTACAGCTTGGAGTCCTGAAATATTTATGTGCATCCTGGATTCTCTGGGAGTCCATGTTCCTTGTGTCATGTGATCATCCATGTGAGCTCCTCAGCCCACCAGGGAAGTATTACGATTATCATCTTGTCTGGGGAGGAGGGAAGAAAGGAAATCCACATGGATACATGATGCGGGTCTGACCATCATTGGATGGATGAATTCACCTTGTCAGGGACTGTCAGCATGAAGTCCATGGAGTGACGGTTTGGTGAGTAAATGGGCCCATATCTGAAGGTAGCAGAGGTGAAGTAACTTGAAGGGGGTCACATAGGCACATAAAGCCATGTGACGAAAGGAGGGAGGGACAGCCAAGTCCTGGCCGGTACATAAGGATTGCTCATGATGTGAGTTATGATGTCGCTCATTGTCTGAAATCTGTACCTGGGCAAGTAAAGTTGTGCTATCACTGGATTTATGGTAGCACAGATGAAGTGCAGAGACTGCATGGGATCGACTATCGATTTCTTGAAGTTGACACCAATTCCCAGGGAAGAAAGGAGGCTAACGAGATAACTGGCTCTGTGGATGAGGGGAAAGCAGTGGACATGTTGTTCCTTGACTTTAGCAAAGCTTTTGACACAGTCTCCCACAGTATTCTTGCCAGCAAGTTAAAGAAGTATGGGCTGGATGAATGGATTATAATGTGGATAGAAAGCTGGCTTGATTGTCGGGCTCAAAGGGTAGTGATCAATGGCTCCATATCTAGTTGGCAGCCAGTATCAAGTGGAGTGCCCCAAGGGTCGGTCCTCGGGCCGGTTTTGTTCAATATCTTCATTAATGATCTGGAGGATGGCATGGACTGCACCCTCAGCAAGTTTGCAGATGACACTAAACTTGGAAGAGAGGTAGATACGCTGGAGGGTAGGGATAGGATACAGTGGGACCTAGACAAATTAGAGGATTGGGCCAAAAGAAATCTGATGAGGTTCAACAAAGACAAGTGCAGAGTCCTGCACTTAGGACGGAAGAATCCCATGCACCGCTACAGACTAGGGACCGAATGGCTAGGCAGCAGTTCTGCAGAAAAGGACCTAGGGGTTACAGTGGACAAGAAGCTGGATATGAGTCAACAGTGTGCCCTTGTTGCCAAGAAGGCTAACGGAATTTTGGGCTGTATAAGTAGGAGCATTGCCAGCAGGTCAAGGGACATGATCATTCCCCTCTATTCGACATTGGTGAGGCCTCATCTGGAGTACTGTGTCCAGTTTTGGGCCCCACACTACAAGAAAAATGTGGAAAAATTGGAAAACGTCCAGCGGAGGGCAACAAAAATGATTAGGGGACTGGAACACATGATTTATGAGGAGAGGCTGAGAAAACTGGGATTGTTTAGTCTGCGGAAGAGAAGAATGAGGGGGGATTTGATAGTTGCTTTCAACTACCTGAAAGGGGGTTCCGAAGAGGATGGATCTAGACTGTTCTCAGTGGTAGCAGATGACAGAACAAGGAGTAATGGTCTCAAGTTGCAGTGGGGGAGATATAGGTTGGATATTAGGAAAAATTTTTTCACTAGGAGAGTGGTGAAGCACTGGAATGTGTTACCTAGGGAGGTGGTGGAATCTCCTTCCTTAGAAGTTTTTAAGGTCAGGCTTGACAAAGCCCTGGCTGGGATGATTTAGTTGGGGATTGGTTCTGCTTTGAGCAGGGGGTTGGACTAGATGACCTCCTGAGGTCCCTTCCAACCCTGATATTCTATGATTCTAAGTAACAGAGGCTGATGCGTGGGTTTCTTGCCTGGAGCTGGTGGCTAGGAGCCAATCGTTGAGATACGGAAAGACGAGGAGTCCATAATGCCTGACGTGGTCTGCTACAATGGAAAATACTTTGATCAAGTCTCTGGGAGCAGTAGCTATCCTGAAGGGGAGCACCTTGTAATGAAAATTCGTCACTGCCATATGAACCTTGAATTTGCAGATGAAATGACTGAGGTGCCAAAGATCAAGGACTGGTCTCCACCCACCTTTCTTTTTGGGTATCAGAAAGTAAGTTGAGTAGAATCCTATTCTCTGATATTTTGGAGGAATGTATTATATTGCTTCCCTTTGTAACAAGGAGTTCAACTTTTGGACAAGAATACTGTCGTGAGAGCAGCCCCCAAGGGTGATGGGGATGGGAGTTTTCGAGGAGGGAATGTGACAAACTCTGTCATCTAGCCACAGTGAATGATTTCAATACCCATCTGTCTGTTATCACACTCTAAGCATAGAAAAATGACCCCCAAAGGGAGTAGGAAGGTCATGAGGCACTAGACATAGTGGTCAGCGGCTCCTGGGCTCACACCCTTGGCTGGAGATTGAGTCTGGCTCCTGGGCTCACACCCCTTGGCTGGAGATTGAGTCTGGGACGTTGAAGCCTGATAGGGATGCCATGGGAGGCAAGACCTCTCTGTGTCTTTTGACGTTTCCCTGGGGCTCATTAGGTCTCTGTGGGTAGAAATGAGGAGACCTGAAGCACTGGGTGGATGATGGACAGTGAAATTTTCATTTCAGGGCAGGAGTGTAGATGCCCAATGAGTGAAGAGTAGCCTTGGAGTCCTTCAGTGTATGTAGTGATTCATCTGTCTTCTGGTTAAAAAGATGGGATTTGTCAAAAGGGAGGTTCTCAATGGTATTCTGGAACTCCCTAGGAAAACCAGAAGAATGGAGACAAGACTATCTATGCATGACTATTGCTGCAGCCATGGCCCTGGAGGAGGAATATGCTGCATCTACTGTACATTGGAGAGCAGTTCTGGCCATGAGCTTCCCTCCATCAACAAGTACCTGAAAATGAGCACGATCTTGTTGTGGAAGGCTATCAAAATTCCTCGAATTTACTGTAATTTAGGAAGTCCTATTTGG